GTGGTCATGGTTGTCGTCAATGATCGTTCGCTTTCTCATTTCTATCTTCACGCTCTTTTTTCGAAGAGGCGGCGCGCTTGACGAGAGCAAGCGAAAAAACGCTGCAATGGAAACATTTCACAAGCGTAGATAGCTGATTCGCTTCATGGGGTGGACTCTGGGGTTCTCGATTCTCCTTCCGGCAATCATCCTGGAAAAAAAAAAAACACCCCAAGCGACGAGAAAAAACACGAAGGCTTGCACGTGTGTATGTATGCCTGGTCGCGAGAACAAGACTTCGCCGACGTATGCGGGTTTTGGGCGTTGGTCGTTTCTGTTGTTCTCGCGTACGGCAAGACACCAAAGAACGTCCCATGGCACAGACGTGTCCCACAGCACCTTAGCACCACTATAAAATAAGAGGAAGCAGCGCTCGCGTTCGTTGCACCTCGTGCTGCTGCTGCAGCTGCCGCCGTCGCCACCGCTCAGTATGTAAGTAGCAGCCAACCGAAAGAGCAAGCAGTACCCATTTGTTCCTACTAGTACACGGAGGCAACATGGTACCTTCGTGCTTCGTGGAAGCAAGCGCCATTGGCATCACTTCGTGGATGCAAGCGCTTCTGCGCACGCAATTGTGTAGCCCGGCCGAAGGCTAACGTTGAATGGTCGTCGCTTCACGTAATCAAGTAGGCACCAACGCTGCGTGAGTGACCGATCGATTCTCTTCTACTGAAACAGCACCACCGGTGTGTGATGCATCATCACTTTCACATGCAGTGAAACCACTGCTACGATGCGTGAGTGAGCAATCGTTTTCTCGCGTAGCCGAAGTGAACACAGCAGTTGCGTTGATGAATTACCCGTGTATGTATCGAAGCCAACATCACGCTGCGTGAGTGAATGATCAAGAGGCGACAGCGAGAGAGAGAGGGAGAAAAAATGCAACAATATATATATCATTCCGAACCGTCGCCCGCCCCCGGCCCGGGCCTCACCTCCTTGCCGTGGTCGTGGTCGTGGGAGTGGGCGTGGCCGTTGGAGGTGTCCTCGTGCTTGTGGTCGTGGTTGCCGTGGGAGTGATCGTGGCCACAGGACCCATCCTTGCACGCATGCGCGTGGCCCCCCTTGCCCTTCTCGCTGTTCTCTTTGGCCTCCTTTGCCGTCTCCTCCTCGGCCGCCTTCTTCCGAGTCTCTTCCTCTTTCGCCTCCTAAATAGGGTAGGGGCGGGCGTCGGCCAATCACATGGTGTCTGTCATGCGGTCGCTCCCAGCAGCATCTTGTACGGGGTACCCGATTAGGGCCGTGTTTGGACCGGGTGTACCCGGTTTTGGCCACTGCTCACTAACATAATGGCCCGACACAACTCCACGTCCAACTCATATTGTTTTGCAGACGCACACAAGATGCTACCCTTACTAAAGTGACGAGATGCAACATACGCGTGGTACCACCCTAAATGAAAAACGTTAGTGACAAGATGAAACATTATCCCACGGCCCTATGTGAACAGCACTGAGGAGAGAGTGATTCCACGCGCTTGGTAGCACACGACCTTGGCCTCACACAGCATTCACTGCAGACCAGGAGGGAAAGTATCCGTTCTACTACACGACACGACGTGTCGCTTTCAATAAGCAGCCCTTTCCGAGTTGCACACACGTAAGAAGACATGGTCTATTGCTTGCGTCTATGCAACCAACCCCCCTGCTCTATTCCGAACTCGTTGTCTCTCTCCCAGGGAAACAAACCCCACGATCGTCGGATTTGCGACCTATATACTGGTACAAACAAGCTTGGTCACTCGGCACACAATACTCAATATCGCCTTGTGACCACGGGTACAAAGGTCTCGTCGCCGCGCAGGCGGAACGAGAAGGTCTGTAGAAAATTTGCTCGTACCGCACGCACACCCTGTTGAGATGGAAAACCTGTATGCTGTGTCCCTGTAGACGCACACGCAAAGTGGTTGTCGTTGTCTCCTGTATCGCAACATCTTGTTTTCTTTGTTTCTGCCCACCTGTTCAAGGAGCTCCAGCGTTCGCTCAAGGTTGTAGCTGCGGAGGTTCAGGACGGACTTGAGAGGAACGCGTGACTGATGAAGAAACGTAGCCATAGAAAGGCGGCGAAGGGGAGGAGAGACAGAGAGAAAACAGAGAGGTCGCAAAGGGGAGGGAGGGGGATACGTGGGCGGGGGCGATCTGGCAGCAGGAACGGTAGAAAACATCGCGGCGGCTGCGCAGGCACATGAGACGGTGTTCTTCACCCCTGGCTCATCCCCAAGACCACGCACACCACCGTTGCCGTATTCCCAGTGGTACCCAACCCTCTCTCGTGGAAGCCAGGATCAACCCCAACTCACCTTACCACGACTTGTGGTATCCATATTCCAACCTTGTTTTCGTCTCACGAAGCCGTTTCGCTCGTTCGGCTAGTCTATGGTGCTGTCAAGGCTGAGTTCGTCCGTCAACGGCAATCAGACAAAAACAACACGACGACACGACAGCGACCACCACCACCACGAATAGCACGGATAGCCAATAAATCGTCAAACCGTTTGCTCGATGTACCATATACCCAGGAAGTCGCCCCATTGCGAGCAGCCGCGAAGAAAATAACACTTGAGCAACCAAAAAATCAAAACAACAGCCATGGCCACTTCCAACAACAGACCGCAAAGACTACAGCCCAAGAACGCCACGAACATCTGTCTTCAATCCGGGGAGTAGCTCAGCCGCCCCCACGACACCCCCTCACAGGGTCCCAGATCATGCGCCTTCGGAGGAATTTTCTGTTTTCAATCGTATTGAGACCGCCGTCTGTTCATTGATCAGCCGGATAGCGTCGTCGATGCCAACAGACATACACACACACACACACACACACACACGGGGTCCCAGTTCATGGCAGATAGAAGTGTTTTGTATTTTCAACCGCACTAAGACTGACGTCTTTTCATTGGTCAGCCGGTTAGCGCGGTCGATGCTAATGATAAAGACACACACACACACGTTTCCGTCAGGCAACAAGCTATTCCGACTAACCTTCTCCGCCTGCACGACCTTGGCGAAGGCGTTAACGCTGGTGATCTTCTGCTTGACCGTCTTGAGCTCCTCCTCGCTCACGAGGTCCGTCTTGTTGATGATCACCGAGTCCGCGAAGGCCAGCTGCTGCACGGCTTCGTTCACCGCACCCTGTCGTTAAAAGGAAACGGTTTCGTGGTGGTACGTACGTGTACTGGAGTTGGGATGTTGTTGCTGGCGTCGTCGTCGTTACGTCTCACTGTTTCGAAACGGTGTTGAGGTTCGAACGGTTTCGTCGTGTGGTACGTGTGCAATGTGCTTTTTGTTGTCGTTCGACTCATCTTCGTTGCCTCTCTATCTTGCGTACGTACCGCGAAACATCAGGGGGGGGGGGGAGATAGTTCATGACATTTTTCGTCATACCGGCTCCTGGGAGGTCCTCGAGAGTTGTCGAAGGATGTTCTTCGCGTCCACCAGGCAGAGGACCGAGTCCACGCGATAGTTCGCCTTTACGTCCATGTCCTGTTCCATGCATATTTGTTGTTTCGCGACAAAAAGCAGAAAACCAAAAAAAGCAAAAGAACATTCAAAAGCACAAATCATTTTTCTCCCGGCCATGATAGGGCCGTCAGAGTTGGCAAAACAACGAGACATCTCAAACGCAAAAACGAAACAAAACACACAAGGACAGTGTTGGCTATATGTTGCTCCCTGCCACGCAATGGGCAGCCAGCTACACCAAGCGAGTTGGTGCGAATAACGAGACATCCCAAACGTACCCCCCCCAGAAAACAAGCACTCTGCGTATCGTCATGCTTTCGGTCATTTGCTGCTCCCGGTACTGTACAGAAAGGGCAGAAAAATTCACAAGAGAGCTGGCAAACCTCGGAGGCGTTGCAAAAAACGCCTCTTCCCGTTTTCGTGGGCATCTCAACCGAACGAACAACCTCATCAAAAAAAAAATTCAGCCTCAACACCAACTCGATCTATTCTTCTCTCTCCGGTACCATCTTTTCAAATACAATTTCAACAAACCTGGTTGAAGGTGGCCACGATCGGGGAAGGGTCCGCGATCCCGGTTGTCTCTAGAAGGATGCAGTCGAAGGTGTCGCGGCGGTCGAGGAAGTTGAGGAGGGCCTTCACGAGGTCGCCGCGCACCGTGCAGCACACGCACCCGTTGTCCATGGTCACGATGTCCTCGGCCTATGTGGACCGAACGAACAAGCGCGAGAGGGGGTGAAGGGCAAGGCGGTGTAACGACCGGGCAACATTGCCCCTTCCCCCAGACCCAAAGGTACAGGGAAATTAGGATCAGCCAGGAGAAGACGGTAGCTGTACTGGGGCATAGGAAGTGGGTTGAAAAGGCGGGAAGTGTTATCGGTAGGATAGACAGACTAGGGAAAACATAATTGAGCCAACCTTGGCAAAGCATGAGGAAACGATTGGCCATCCGTGATCGGGCCTGTGGGAACACTGCTCCGTCCTGTCAAGGACGCGTGGCCCATGGTCTAACCGTTAAGGCGTGTAAAACACAAGAGTAAGCGTCTCCCCTCCCTCCCAAAGCCTTGAAGGAGACGCGAAGGAGCAGCACACGCAGCCCCCCATGTCCAAAATGAGATACTTAGGGTTCAAAATTGTGACAACGAGGTAGTGTAGGCAACAAAGGCCGCACGAGTGGACATACAACAGAGAATTTCTACAACAGCGTTTGCGCGTGTGCTTGAACCTTCCAATGTACCAATGTACACAAAGTAAGTCCTCGGGTGATTCAAGCATGGTAACGACTGCACTCGGCGAACACCAGTAGTAACAAGCCCGCCCCCGTCCTGCCCCCCTGAAACGTTTAGTTCAGGGAAAAAAGATACAAAATATATATATGTTGCGGGGGGTGGTCTGCTCTGCCTACTATCTGGGGGTCCCCTCTCATCAAAAACAAACCGACTACCCTTTAAGGCTTCGCGGCTCACTCTCGACGACGCCTGTAGTGATGGTGGGTCAAACAAGCCCAACACAATGATTCGTTCACTGCAGACGCACGGGCGCCGACCAGCTTGCTTGGGCACTCACCTCCCGGACGTTCTCCTCCACGAGCTCGGTGTCGATGCTCACAGCCCCGTACTCGTTCTCGATGACGGCGATCTTCATCTCCCTCTGTTTTGCCGCCGCACACAGCAGTTAGTTGGCGAGGCGGTGGAATCTTGGGTGAGTCGATCGGGCCGGAGGATGCGGCCTTCCACACAAATACGTTCATTTACGCACACGGACTTACACCCACGGCGACAAGCAACACGACAGTTTCGAAAATGCCAACGATTGTCAACGGCACCGTTCGTCACGCGGAATTTTTCTGCCCGATCGCAACCAAGATGCCGACGTAGCCAACGACACCAAAACGCCAGCCGTATCGTCACAAAGCACCACGTGGCAAGCAAACAATAACACCAACCCAACCAAAGATGGAGAGGCACACGGGAGAGGCTGGGAAGAGAGGGCAAGAGAGACACGGAGGCAGAGAAAGACAGAAAAGAGGACTAGAGAGGGATTTATCACCTGTTCCTTGAGGATGTAGTTCACCAGGGTAGTCTTGCCCGCGCCGAGGAAACCCGTCACCACGGTAACCTGAAAAAAAAAAAAAAACAGACGGCCTTCAGCATGTGCAGTAGGTGCACCAGAACCAATAATAAGGCCGGTACGGGAACGGGGGACTGCAACAGCCCCGATGCCGAGGCGCGGGGATGCGACCAGAGAGAAGCGGATATTGCTTCGTCGAGAAAAAGGCTCCGCTCCAAAGCCGTATGGGCGTCAACGAGCACGGCATGGGGCGAAGAGAGCGCTGAGCTACAACAACAACGTCATGTTGGTGGCGTCGGCGGCATGGCTAGCACTAGTAATAGTACTCGCTTTCTTGTCGCTTACCGGAGTCTTCTCTTCTTCCGGAAGGTCCTGCGGGTAGTAGTCGTCGTCCTCATCGTCGTAGTCGTCTATGAGCTGGGAGTGGAACAGTTCCGCAAAAAAAAAAAAAACGGTAGCAACAAGGTGAGGGGCAAGGGCTACGATCGAATACAGCCACGGTTGTATGGGGGTGGTCTGCACCCTCTCAAGTTCTCGTGTGCTGGGCAGCCGCACCGACCATCACGGCATCCCATGCGCTGGCTGGACAACAGCAACTAGGATTTCTTGTGAGTGTCGCGGGCACGGGAAACAGCTCAGTCGTTCTGCACAGTAGAGAGTTTGTTCTCTCGTTTCTCTTCCTGGTAGCGGAAAACTCCACTAATAGTTCGTACGTACAGTTTTGAGGGGAGAAAATGCTGTGCTCTTGCAGTGTTACAAATCGAACGCAAGCACCGCGGGAGGGGGGGCTCAGGGAGAGGCACCCTTCAATGTGACCACGGAATGAAGCTCTCGCTCGGCAGAAAAGTTGTGAACGATGATTTGAAGTGATGAGATATTTCTTTATGGGGACACAACATGGTTGGGATACATATATCTTGGCAAGATTTGTTCGGAAGAAATGTTCGCCAAATATGCACGTATCGCGATTTATGGGGAACAAAAGTGGAATGGTGTGGGATGTTGAAAAGGGCGGCGAGCTCTTCGTCTTCCCTCCTTGAAGTTGATAAAACTCGCAACTGCCACTTGGTTCACAAAATACCATGGTGTGATGAACACTGAGCACCACGCAGTTCTAGAAGGCGCTCTCCCTCCCATAGCTGCAAGCCTCAATACTACGGATGGATTCTAGCGGTGGGGGGCCACCTGGGGCACAACAAGAGGCGATGTTACCCGCGGTGTCATGCAGGCGGAGAAACAAAATTGTTCCGTTGCTGTCCAACGGCCAAAAATGTGCATCAACCCGCGAGGCGACGACAACCGTGCACGTATCTCCTCACTTCGTAGTAGGCGTACCGAGGTCAAAACTTCAGTGCCGTCATCTGCACTCACATACCGTATATGACACAAGATAACACACCCCGGTGATAACATTTTGGAGTGTGAAAATATTATCACCGGGTGTGGTATCCTGTGGGGGGTGTGTTATCTTGTGTACCCCGGGTGATAAAGTGCAGCTCGCAGGGGCCCCTAAGGGGGTGTGATAAAACAGGGGGTGTGATAGCGCGTCCGAACACCCACAGCGTGTGTTTGGGGGTGTGATGAATGAGGGTGTGTGATAAAAGGGGGTGTGATAGCACGTCCGAACAGCCACAGCGTGTGCTTTGGGGTGTGATAAATGAGGGGGTGTGATAAAGGGGGTGTGATAGCCATGCCTGCACGTACACGTGCAGTGTAGGGACCTACCTAAAGGGGCGTGGAAAAACAAAGGGGCTCAACCGAGGTGACGAAACTCCTGAGCACATGACCTCGGCGATAACTCAACCCTCTCCTCGCCAAAAAAAGTTTGAAACGAAGTACGGGCTTGAATCGAGCAAGAAAAAAGCAGCGCCTGCGCTGCTGCAGTCGAAGCAGTTGTCGAAGGAGCGGAGGTACTTGCGGCTGCATTCTGCTCTGCCTGCACGTTCATGTTGTTGGGGGTCTCCATGCGGGGTGTTTCCCCTCACACAGCTGACGTGGTTGTGTGTGTGATTGCCTAGGGCAGATGCTGTCACCCCGGTGATAAACAAGGAGGGGCCCCGTGACTATATGCGGCGTAACTAAAAATATCACTGCGGTGTGTTATGTACCCCCGGTGATAAATCGATGGTTTGTCAGAAGCGCCCAAAGCTATCACCGGGGTGTCGTATTCTGTGGGGGGTGTGCTTTCTTATGTAGGTGTGTTATCTTGTGTCATATACGGTATCTGTTTGGCGCGCAAACGGCGGAGCTGTTGTGGAAAAACATTCCGCCGGCTCTTTTATCTATTTGGAAATAGAGTACTCTTTTGAACGGTCTCTCCACAGATGAAGCAACAGCAGTTCATGTCACCAGCGATGCTTTTATCTCTGGATAGAAGCACTCCACAGCCACCTCAGTTGCGTCCGAGAGAGAACGGTTGGTGGAGGCGGCAGCATCGAATGTTTTCGCCTCGATGCGTCCACCAAGGAGGGAGAAATGTGAACGGGTGTTACCCGCCGTCAAGTTGGAAGATGTGTGCGCTCCGTTGATGACGCACGCGGCACAAGCCAGAGGGGGCAAACATGTTATATTTCGTGCGCCTTGATCGTTTTTCTCCGCCATCGGCGCCCGTGGCGTCGACAAAGTACAGCCAGGGTGCGTTAGAGGCCCTTGCGAATGTGCCACGGCTGATTGCATAGCGTTATGGACGATAAGCTTGACTGACCTGTGGTAATCTCGCCGCACCCACCAGATTTGCATCTCCGCCCAAGATTTATCCGGTGAGTTCGATAAGACAAATCTTGGGTCAATATTTGTTCGTGTGGGTAAATATTGGGCGGAGATTTTTCGGAAGATCTGTGTCCCATAAATCGTGAAACTGACAAATCTTGGCCCACCATTCTTCCCAAAGATTGTATCCCCATGAAGATAGGTCTGAAAAAAAAAATGAATCATTCAATGATTATTTCAACGCTTTGATCCATGAGCGCAACAGGGCATCGCAGACAGCGAGCGAAGCACGTGCCGGCGGGACATCGGCGGTCATGATCAGGCTGAAGGTATGCCTTGGTCTAGCACCGATACGCTGTGAAACCAGCCAGCATGTGTGACAGAATGCTCGAGTCTCACAGGGGCAAGCCGAAAACGCTGTTTTCACAAAGAAATGCATTCGAAGAAATTCGCGTGGATCAGACTTTCTTTTCCTCCATAACACGCGCCCCCAAAACAGAAAATAAAAAATACCCACAACCAACACAAACACATCTCCAACCACATAACTACTATTTCATCCAATGGACCACCCTCCGTGTGAGATTACAGAGCAGATTTCGCCTAGGGTTCGGTAGACCAAAGTGGTAAGCTGCTGTGCTCTGCTGGACGCCAGCTACATGGGGGCCGCACGCCCAGCGTGGTATTCGGAGTCAATGGTAATACGCCGACGTGAGGTCTGCTCATGGGTGGGTGCAACAAACGTGCAGTCCCCGATTAATGATTTGATCCTTCCATTCCACAAAAATCAATCGTTTTGTCATTCGGCTGTTTCGACGCGATAACCAAATTCTTGCTATTCCGGGCAGCAAAAGCATTCTCGTATTTTTCCCTGATGATCAATCACAGTAGTTGGGGACTGCTCCAAAAGCCAGTTATTATCCTGATTTTATCAGGACTATTTCGAAACTAAAAATAACGCATTTCGAAAAACCGGCGGCCGCAGCCCAAAAAGGTCCAACCATTTAATTTTCGATGGAACACTTCCAGCTTCAAACCCGCCCTGGCCATCCACCTTGATATGTTCAACCATCTATGATAGACACACGGCTCCCAAAACTGCTTCGGCTTTGAGCACAGGCTCTTCGGCTTCGCTATGTACCTCCAGGTTAATGACGTGGGAACCAAACGAGTGGCTGCAATGCTTGCATCCGTCCCATATCGAACATTCAAAGCGCATCCAACCACGTACAACATATTTGCGTTGCATGGTTGCACAGCAAGACCACGATTCCGATGCTGCCGGGCAAGGGTGACGGCGTGTGCAAGGAACTCCGAGCGGAGGCCGTGCTTTGGCAAAATGGGTGAGTCGGGGTGCGGGACCACGTCGTGCCCGAGCTGAAAGACATGGTAACCTTAACATACTGCAATAAAGACCAGTCAGTGCCCGGACAACAGTTTGATGTGCGTATACTCACTTAGGGAGTGGACGGATCCCGGGCCGAAGGGGTTGGAAGAGGGCCCTTTTGGGTACTGAATAAGTGTAATACAAGTGAGTGATCAGTATTTATGCCTACACTCACGAGGTCGCGACCATTATCTCGTGAAACCCCACACACTTATCCAAGGAGGCACATCATAATCAGGACCAAGACAAAAAACCGGGCCACATTTTCAAATTTCACTTGTTCACGACATCGTATGTGCAACATGATCTTCAGTAACTGGTGGATCCCGACTTGACCGCGCGGTTTTCAAAAATTCGTGCAAAAATCCAAATGAAGAACAACGTGACTGCTACCAGAGTTATATGCTGCCTCATTTACTCCAATTTGGTCCTCTGACTATTTTATGCCTCCGAAATATGGAGACACAAGAACCCTCTGCGGGATGTTGGGTGTTGTTTCACACAGAGTCAGTTATTTGTACGGGCATATCGAGGGTGAGGAAAGGTGACCTGGGCATGCATCCGAAAGTCGCTTTCGCGTGTGGCCGGGAGGGAAATAGAGCCAGCTGTTCCCGCGACTGCTGTAAGCGTCGGGCACACGCACGGCGAATGCCTGGCCAGCGCCGAGCATTCGGCGTAATGTACTGACGAGCCTCCTGCGTGCCCTACACAAGGAAGCCTGAGAATAGATTCGCTGCGGCAGCAGTGCAGCCAGAGAACTTGGCAAGCACCAAAGAGCGTGCGATAAAACGAATGACAACAGCACTTGGCAGCACCACAAAAAAAAAGCTCGGCCCTTTCGTGGGGGGGCTGTTACCTCTATTGCCTCCGTATATAAACGTTAAACGCCCCGGCGAACAAATCGTGGTCAAGAGCAGAGCAAGCTCGTGCCAACATCACGCTGCGCACAAATCAACTCCGAGTTCTGGGACTGGAGACTGCGGGCGTGTGGTATTCGGCGAAGTGTGTCTCACGAATCCGCCTTACAAGTGCACACCAGCAGCAGGGAATCGCCGTCGGATAAAAAAAAACTGCGGTTGTGTGCGTAGTCGCGTGTGTCCTCGACTTGTGTGTACACAAAGCAGTAGCGATTGGTGGTTCTTGCGATGTTCATGCCAGGGGGCGAGGTAATCGAGAGTGCATCAGCCTCGCCCCCCCCGGTTGTTGGCTGTTCCTACAGGTGGCGTGTAGAGTGGCAGAGTTGGTGCGTTGATGTGTAGGGTCGGGGCGAGCAGCCGGCCTCACCCACGTGAAACAAAAGATTTTTCTAACGTTGGCCAAGGGAAAAAGCTCCCCCCCCCGCACTGCAGGGTGTACGCGACCGGCACAGCAGCCGTGCTACGTACGACACAACATACACACCTCCTGTTCACGAACTGCTGACATACGCTGCATTGCCTCCTCCTGAGCACGGGGCGTGGCAGCTGCATCAACACCGCCGCCGGGAGCGGCACTTCCGTTGAGTGTTTCCTGCGAACCAGCGAGAGCGAGAGAGCGAGAGAGCGAGCGAGAGAGAGAGAGACAGAGAGAAACAAGGGAGGGGCCAGGCAGACAGTCGCGCACGTGACACACATGAGGGTTTGCACACAGCAGCAGTTCATTGCGGATGCAGTCTCTCTAGTGTGGAGCCGGGTGAGAGAAGAGGTGCGAGAGAGAGAGAGATGGCGAGAGAGGGACGTTTGCGAATGTATCGCATCGCGACCACAACGAGGGACCTCAGTCACCACCAGCACACACGTGAGGCTGATCGGCACGAAGCCAATAATACCCCCATCCGTCCAAGTGTGCACACGCGGCCCTTCACAACCCTGTGAGAATCTCGTTTTTCGCCGGAGAGTTATCCTACGCGCGCACTCGCGTGCACCCTACCTACGGAGGTGCATCCTTTGCATCATGTCCCTGTCTCACGCCTCTCCCGCATTTTCTAGCAAAAAATAAAAGAGCGGCCCGGGTTGCGATATTTGAACCCCCGACGACCTCCTCTGCCGGCGGGACGCTGTCTGCTGCAAGTACAGAAGCACCACTCAATGACCACGCATGGCCCACGTGACGCACAGAAATAGGGTTGCGCGCATCCGCCCCAAAATCGCTGCATGCCTATGACTTGTGTAGAGAGGGTGAGGCCAAATCTCCGGCCGGGCAGAGTAATTTGGTAATTTTGGTGGGAGCAAGATCTCTCATCCGCGGAGAGTTTGAACGTATGTACGCCATCAGCGAGAAAACTCACCATAAGGGGCTGTCCAGTGTATTCCATGTCTCCCTCTGTGTCTTCGGCGACGAATTATCCTCTCTGTAGTTCCTGCCCCTGGGTTCCTGGGTTTTGAAGCGTCTCTTCGTATGGTATGGATTGCAGGTACGGAGTTATCGCCTGTCGTCAAAGTGTGCGGTTGCGGGGGGGATCGCCAGTTAGGGATGAAGGAGGCGGGGGTGGGGGAACCGTGGAATGCGAAGATGCGAATTGAGGTGTGCGCCCGCAGCCGGGCGTGCGAGCGAGGAAACAGAAAAGCACGACGAAGGCAGGATGAACGAGGAAGATGACTCGAAGCAGGGCATCAGCCGGGAGGGACCGTTGCGGAGCATTGCCAGTCCTCCTTTCGCAGGGTGAGAAAGCTCGCGCAGATAATTTGCAGGTCGGTTGCAGCGCAGCGCAGGACACAACAGCCCTCTCTTGCGGAACGTTTCTCTCTCTCTCTTGCTCCCTCCCCCCCCTCGCCCTTGCCGACATCATGCATGATTGAACCTGCTCTGTTCGTCGTACATGCCCGAGTAAACACCACAAGCTCCGTGCAACCGCTGCTGATGGTTTGATCCGAATCCCTTCCTCCACGCTGTCCGCGGCAGGCCTGTTGCGCATGTCAACTCCGGGCCTCTAGCGCACAACCATGCCGACAACATCGCCGCTCTCTCCTCCTATCCCGGAGCCCCACCGCCCGCCGCCACGGCAGCATCGGCAGCTTCGCACCCCCTGGACTACGACTCGCAAGTGCACCAACAGCAGCACCAGCAGCAGCAGCGGTTGCCACTGCAATCGCCACCGCGCGGCCCGTTGTCTGGCGGAATTCCCCTGCCCGTCGCGCCGACTGCGGCACCGATTTCTTCGAGCAGCACAAGCAGCAACGACCCGCTGTCTCACTTGCTCCTTCGGCCGAACGGCATGAGGATGGAGAGGGACGCGCCCTCCTCCTCCTCCTCCTCCGTCCTTCCTCCTCCTCCTCCTCCTCCTGCTACAGAACCCGCGACAGCAAAGTTCGATTTCAGCGGGAACCCGCCGCCGGCTGGCGCTCAGATGATGCCACCGCCTCCAACGGCCGAGCAGGAGGTGAGGTGGGAGGGTTGCACCGCATCCCAACTGCCCGTTTGCGAGTATCGATTCGGTTGTCTTGCAACGAACACGTGCAGTAGTATGTAGATACGAAGTGCATGGTAGTGTCGATGTTGGTGAAAGCGTTTCGTACTTTGTTTCCGCGATTAGGCGACTTCATCCGCAGTCGAAACCGTCGTTTATGATGAGGCGTGGAAAGTCGCGTTGTCTGCTGAAATGTCTACACAGCAGTGAAGTCGCTGCTGTTGTGCGATGAGCCCCCGCGGGAATCCATTCTCGAGGGTGACGCCTGCGGCGCTGCGTGTGTGCGCCTGCTGCGATCGTGCGTCCCTGGGCAGGCGTCGGAGTCTCCGAAAGCCCCGCCGATGCCAGCACTGCCACCGCCTCCGCCAACGACCAACGACGGTGAGAATCAAAGCCGTGGAACGTGCGTGGGCGGCAGAAGATGATTTACCCCCCCCCCCTTGTGGAAGCCACCATCCTCCATTGCCCGTTTGTGCGCTCACCCCTTCTCTGCGGGCGACTCGTGGTTACTCACCATCTACAGCTACAGTTGTAGTTCTGTACAATGCCTACGGAGTTCCGCGGCTTCGGAGGGAACTAGGTTGGGCGGGTGACCCTTTAGCCGATGTCCCAGACTCCACACGCACCTATTATGGACGACAAATATGATAAGAGTCGGGTTTCATCTTGCGGCCCAATCGACGCTAAATGGGGATGAAACATGCAAATGCTCTGTCGTGTGTGCTACTGATCCATGAACCACGACCACCCGCCCCGGGGGATGAGTATCGGGGTTGCCCTGTGACGTTCCGCTTGGTAGCCCCGGCCCATGTACTCGGACTACGCCTTCTCCTTTGCTAGGGAAATGGAGCAGTTTTCAAGCACCAAACAAGTACATTTAGCGAAAAATATATACACAGCAGCAGCGTGGGCGAATTGATGCATGCAGAAGTGCGGGTGGGCAGAGGTGCTTCCTCAAAATCGTGAGACGGCTGTTGTTTTGCTGGTGTCATCCAAGAGGGTGGTGCGTCAGGGGTACCAGTGTTGGTGAGGTTTTGCGTAGATGCTCCGCAAAAGATGGGAATCCGACATGGTCGGTACACCTACACCGTGCACAAGACGCCCATGAAAATGAAGCCACTTTGAGTAGTTACCGCCAGAGGCTAGGCAGTAATTTGACAGGGCTTCCCGCTCAGAGGTTTTCCTCAGATTGCCTCCGCGTTTTGTGCGGTGCTTTGCGGAGGCGGGGTTGCGCCGTTGGCGCCTCCTACCCTCGCCCCCCTTCCGCCATTTTCCTAAACGTGTCGGCGCGCTGCCTGCAAAACAACACAGGTCCGAAGTACTACCAACCGCCGCCACTACCTCCCCAGCAGCAGCGATCTCTATCGGCTCCATCGCCAGCGGCGTTGAGCGGCGTGGCTCTCCCGTTCATGCCGCCCCCACAGCTGCCGCAGCAACACCATCACCACAAGCAGCAGCAGCAGCAGCAGCAGCAGCGGGCAGCGTCGTCCACACCAGTGGCCCCGGCGTACCCGCCCCAACAACCCCCTCAGGAGAAGACCCTCGACGCCCTCGTCTCGGAGTTCCTGTCGATGGAGGCACCGCCCCCCCCGGAACCCGTCAACGAGACCTTGGCCCTCGGCGACCCGGACGGGTGGGTGGCGGCGCTGGGGCAGCTCGCCTGGCGGAGAGCGTGGCGGAAGCTGGTCGAGATCGCGGGGACCATGCTCGTGGCGCACAGGGGGGGGGGGGCGCCGGGCCTGACCGCGGACCAGGTGCATACATGCGCGTCGGCGGAGAGATGATCATGGAGGAGGGGTCTAGAGAGACAGCAGCAATATGACGACCTTGACCTCGATGAGTTGCATGACAGTCAGTCCGTGGGAAGAGTTAATCGTGAAGAAGGCACCCCGGCTTAACGGAGCTCCCCCTGATCCAACGCTGTGTGCATTTTATGTGGCTTTCGTCTTTCGTTTTGGGGACATAATCTTGTGGGCAGAATGAGCTTGTGCGCGATTGCACGCTCGTGATCTCTTCCGCGGCGAAAGAGGTAATCGTTGAATTTCGGTAGGAAGTTTGAACGGCGGGTGATCGTTTGCGCCAGCTTTTGGTCCAGGAGCGAGGCTGGTGGTTTTGGCACACGTTCGTAGGACATGAATGTTGGTTCTCACCAAGGACTGAAAGGAGAGATGGGTTTCACTTGTGTACCGAAGCCCCTGCCTATTCTTCATGTTTCGCGGATTTCACGTTTGAACCTGCTTGGGGGACAAAATACAGTGAATTATAACACGGTTTGGTTTCTCTTTGTTCAATCCGCCGAACGAACGTCGCGCCAACCGAAACAGGCGATGGATTTGCGCCTCCGACGCGCCATGGGGATGCTCAAGCTCGGGAGGGCGGCGGAGGCGGCGGAGGCGGCCGTGGAAGCAGGCCAGGAGGCCGGTCAGCCGCCGCTGGCCGCCGTTACCGTCGCCGCCCGTGTCGCCGCCGCGGGAGCAAAGTCTGTCTGCGAGGGGGAGGCGGAGGAGGAGGCGCTGGACGAGCTGACCGCGCTCAAGGTACAAGATGATTTATTCGAGCCTTTTTTTCTCTTTTTTCTTGAGGTATTCACAATCTTTGAAGCATGTATGTCTGTGTATAACAGAAGCGAATCGTGTGACAACATTGACCAAGAGACTGTCAACACCTAAAGTGTGAGTCATTTCTGCCACGTCCTGACTGGCTTCCATGTAACCCCCCCCCGTCCTCCGCGTGTCTTGCAATTGCGTTGGCATCTGATGTTGGAACTAGTTTGAGCTAGAGGGTGTCATCGCCGCTGGTGATGGTCCGAGTTCTTTCGCCCCATCACCTTCTGAAGACGGGATGGAAGCAAGAACAACAGCAGCAGCAGCAGCAGCAGCAGGAACAACAACAACAACGGTAACGGTGGCGGAGGCGACTACGTGGCGGCGACGCGTGATGCTCAACCTCGTCAACATGTTCGTGGGGCGCGGGAACTGGCGGATGGCTCTGGGGCTCCTGGAAGACCTGGGGGAAGACCAGTGCGGCGAACGCAGCACCCCCGCCTGCTCTTCTTCCTCGCACGAAGAGGTAACAGCAGCAGCAGCAGGAGAGGAGGGCGCAAGGGCGTCGGTGGACAACGTTAGGGTGGAGCTTCTCTCTCGCATCGGCAGGGTGTTCTTGCAGTTTGGCTCGCTGGAGGACGCGGAGGTTTATTTCCGTCGCGCGGAGGCCGCGGCAGCGGTGGCGGGGAGCAATCCCAGAGTGAGTTAGACCGTTTTTTTTTTTTTGTACCTGAGGTTGTTGTCGTTGCCGTTGCCGTGTTGACATTGGTTGGTTCGGGTGTACGACTTGTATTCCTTGGTGTTGGTTGTTTAGGTGCACCATGTGCATCTCCTGGTGCTCGTTTCGATGCGATCTTAGTCCAGCGCTACGACAGGAAACGCCCGAACACCGAAGAGAGTGCGCTATCTTTTTCTTCTGTGTTTTTTTGGTGGGGGTGCGAAGGAATGCAGCGTGGCGTGAGTGGATTGGTTAGCAGGCACGCAAAACGAAGGTCTGCCGTGTGGACAACCTGCTGCGCTCGCACACAAGACGATTTGTCTATTCACCAACCTTGACAACTACAAGCGTCGGTACGCATGCGCGTTTCAGCTAATCAACTTGGTTTCGGGTCCCTTTCGAGGGCGCGTGACGTTCTGCGTTCGACAGCAGTAGTGATGACGCGGGTTGTGTGAGGTTTGATTCGAACACATGCCTTTCGTCGTGTTTAGTTTGACTGCGTGGTAGTTCCACGGCCTTTGTGCCAGTTTTCGACAGTTAGTTGTGAGCGAAGAAACCGTGGGTCGTGACGGGGCCGAAATTTCTCCAGGCGGTTTTTCCCGCATCGGCAACATCAGACGGACAGAACCTCTACCGGCCGTGCTGTAACCGCTTCGGCTCCCCACGCGCACGGTTCGTCGACCAGATACTTGTGAATCGCGGCTTGCTGGACTTTTCGAGGAACGAGTTCGTGGCGGCGCAAGAAAACTTCCGAAACGCGGCCACAGAGGCGGCGATGTTAGCGGCCAAGGAGGAGCCACCAGACGGCAGTGACGGTGAGCGAGACTCTCTCGCGTGCTTCAGGATTGGTGCTTTTGTTTCGCGCAAGGCGTGGATTTCTAACGGCTCACAGTCTGTGTGCGGGCTTTTCTGCGCAAGGGGTGAATTCCGAAGGACTTGCAGTCTGTTTCCCATGTACCCTTGAGCGCGTAGCGTTGACGTGGGTTTCGTATTGCGGTCCGTAGTTTTTTTTATGTTATGGAGCCGTCCACTTCGGCGGAGGCGTGGGCCGGTGCTTTGAGGGGATGGCACAACCTGGCTCTCGACCGGGGGCCGTCCGTGCCCCTTGGCCCCGCTCCCAAAACACCGCATTGGCCCAACCGACATATCAAGAGTTTGATGCTTTCCCCCCAGCGTTCATTGCTCCAGAATCTCTGAGCGTGTGTACCTTGTCAATGCCGATGCCGTTGAGCCCAGGGACGCCGGTGTCAAGCGTGAGTGAAATATTCTCTTCCTTTGTATTTTGTTGTCTGTGTTGCCTGTTTTGTCCGCCATCCAAGTTGATGAAGAGAAGTTGCTCTTCGCAGATATCATACATACGAAGATGCTTTCTTGATACCTGTTTCCCGTGCCCTCGTCAAACTCTGCTCTGTCGCCCCACCGCGTCGCCCCAATATTTGCGGCTTCCTTGTCATCGAAAACCTTGTCATCGATAACCGTTTTTTTCTTGTCGGCCGCCCCCCCCCCTGCTTCTTGCTGCGGTGGTAGACAACTGGCTCTGGGCGACCCTAGATCAGGGCGCTGGGCTCCTCGACGCCGCCCTCAACAACCTCAGCCTGGCGATGGTGTACTCGTGCGACGTCCTGCGCGGGGTCAGGACCCTGGAGGGGCTGATAAGGAAGGACCCCCGGTTGTACATGCTGGACGTGGTGATCTTCAACCTCTGCACGCTGTACGACCTGTCCTTCGACGCCGTTGCCAGCGCCAAGAAGAAGCGGACGCTGCAGGCGGTCGCCCAGCGGTTTCGGCTCGAAGACATCGACGCCTCCTCCTTCCGCATGAGCTGAACCGGAGAACCGGTCTCTCTTTTTGTGTGTGTGTGTGTTATTTTTTTTTGCTCTCTGCATATATCACATGTATGTAGCTGAAAATATGACGTGATTTCGTTGGGGTCCTTAATCGTGTTGTATCATGCGCGAAGTTTGTTGTATGTTGCTCGCGTCTTGTCGCAGTGGCCATTGAAAAAACTGCACCTTTCTTGACTTCGATGCTTTGCCAAGCAAGCAACCACGCGGGTACTGTAGGTAGGTTTGGCCAAGCATCCCTTCGGATACTTGAAAACGAGTCGCGCAGAGCTCTTTCTGGGAGGCTGAAGGTATTTGGTTGTGAGTGCTCCCTCACCAGGTCAAGGAACAGTGCCCGCCGTAAATTGCTTCGCTTCAGCAGCGGCGAACGCGTCGGAAAGGGCACATTTGCTGCGGCCATTCGAAAGATGGGGCGCGGGTGGCCGGGCAGCGATGTGATCCCGCTGCATTTGCAACAGACATCGCGACAGCGGCGGCGTGGCCGACATACTTTTTCCTATGGCGCAAGAATGTTCTATTCACCCAGGGGTACGGAAAGAAGAGGTGCACCGTCCTTCCTACAGAGCTGCGCGGGCACCGTTTACCACCCAACAGCGACATACTGTAGGCCTACGCCAAGCACCAGCCCTGCACATACTTTCACCCATGTCACGAAGCAATCTACAGCAGTGGCACCTATCCACGTAGGACGAAGCCAGATTTATCTCAAAATCGCCAACCTTGGAGCTCTTTGACTATGCCGGTATCAACCTATTTTTGCACCACGTATCGGCCGCCATACACGACAGAATCGCGAGAACGCGACTATGCCAAGACTCAGCGAAGCAAGGTCTTAGACAGGAAAGAAGAGAGGTCTCACGCAGAAAGAACGGCCTTCTAGATCATTACCTGTTTCTGCTACCCATACACGCCTTCGCTCACCTGGTGCGTGCGAAAACAGCAGGTTCAAAGATGACGTGCATATCTACTGCGTTCATTTCAGTCAGAGCTCCAGATATCATGGATTTGCGGCGCTGTGAGAGTGTACCTCGAGTCTACATGTACGTAGAATAACTATTTTCAAGAAGGTGAGCACACAGGGATGAACAAAGAACTATATGTATTTGTGTTGGTTCGGTGTGATGGGTGACAAGGTTATGCTCATCAACCCGATGAGACACTTGTTCAAAATTCGGTTCTCATTTATTTGTTCTCCGCGCGCACTCTCCCCGCTCTCTCACATACACGTACCACACATCACCCACGCACGCTGCGTCACCACCCACGCACGCTGCGTCATCCGCAGTCTTTAGTGTGAAACACAATGCAATGTTGCTGCAGGATGTGTTGCAGCAAGCTTAGATGCGACTGCATGATTGCCGAATGCAAAGTAGAAAAAAATAAATGATATTTTTGACGCGGTATGATAAGTGACGGTTGGTGACTTAAAACCTGCCATTCTGCCATTTACTATCGACACCCACATCCCGCCGCCAAGACGACGATAGCGAGAGCATGCAAACCGAGCTCCGCCCGTGCTGTCGCTCCTGGCAGTGTCACCAAGGTTGACCCCACGATAGACTGGTGGAGCCCGTGCCCCCATTTGTCAGCGTTGTTCACCCGACCGTCGGGCGCCACGTCGATCATCGCAGTCTAACCGCCGCGAGCACACCCGACCCCCGGCGCCGCCGTCGGCACGATGGAACTCCGACGAGGACATGGCGTGCTTGAAAACACACTTTCCGAAAACCGGTCGGCGGTTTATGCGTGCCTTCCAATTCAGCTCCAGCCGACGCCAAAAAATGGGAGTTTGAATGCGCCAAAAAACGCGAATGTTGGGCGCTTTGACGCCGCCGCCGATGACGTTGCTCTGTGCTTTTGCCTGCCACGATCAGGCACAGCATTCCCGCCTCCAGACGCCCTGTCACGAGCTGGTAAATGTAACTGCGCCGTGTCGTCCACGATCGACTGTATTTCCTTGAATTCCGGCATGGGCACTATTTTAGCCCATCGAAGGTGGCGGGCGGTATGTCTACTAGCCCGAAGATATTCGTCAACCCACATGCGGACGTCCGTGATGAACACTTCCAAGCCCTTGTCGGTTACCTCGGCGGGTCCCCAAATAGGCCATCGTCAGCGTATAAGTCGTGGTGGTGTGCAGAACGTGCGCCCGAAACTGAGCGGTGGTCTTGTGAAAAGCCGCCATGAGGGGTTGGTTGAAGGCGACTTGGAAACCCCCGTGCGTGGACACTCTACTTACAAAGTGGCGAGCCGGCTCCCTTTGCATAAACGCCAACCTACATCGGGCCAATGCCGGCGGCGCCATACCGGCCCGGGTTTCGACAACGGAGATTGATTTCAGCGACGCGTCTTCAGACAGAAAAGAAGACGGTCTTCAACACACGACGTCCCTATTACCTGCTGCCCGTACGCCTTGGCTCACCTGGTTAGTGCGAAACAACAGATTCCAACGACTGCAGTAAGAGGCGGAGAGCTGGCACGGGTCCATGGCACCGGTCGGGGAAGCAGTAAGTACCGGTCGGGGAGATGGCACCCCACGGTTCACAACAAAATACAAGGACGTCATGACTTCATTCTATTTCGGCACCGGGGTCTGTGAGATCGCAACGGGTGCGCTGTCACCCCCAAATCCAAGATTGAGCTCTTCTTGAGCGGCCGCACAGAGGTACATTGCATGATGGCACCTTGTTCATGCGGTGACGGTGTCAGCGGAGCGCCGCACTCCTTTATGTACATGTCGCTTGTACGTACGATCGTACAATCATATGTAATTCAAGCAGCAGGTGTCAGTCATTTTCATTATTTTTTGGGCATGAACGCTGCAAACCGCACACTCAACCAAGAACACAACATGTGGTCCGCTTATTTCGTCCTGCTGCGCACGCTGGTACGTACTCGTAGAAGCTGATACATACCCAGATATGGAACCCACATCGTTTTTAGTCATCTCGTCACATTGTAGCCGAAGTCGCATTCAAACCTTGACCACTCGCTGCATGGAGAGCTGCTATGTACTTACTAGCCTACGGTTGGTTGCCGTTACCGGTGTGCTCCCAGCCAGCAACAATGGTACACTAGGGTTAAGGATTGGCCCCCAGCCCCCCAATGGGGCTGGGGGCCAACATCCAGGACGGATGGTGGTGATTGTCCGGGAGGAAGGAAAGAAGAAGAAGAAGAAGGGGAGAAGATTTGTTGGGGCGGGAAGAAGGGACGGTGTTGGGAGAGGCAAGGGAGTGGTGAAGAATTTCGGCACTCGACGAGCGCGCGGTCCCGTCGGGGGTGAAAGGGAAATGTCAGTCCGTAGTCTTGTCTCTATCGGAATCGAAAAGCCGACAAATCGAGGTATACACTCTATGTACATAACGATGGAGAAGGCCGACGTGGAAGGTACGAAGAGAGGAAATTGCACCCCACGTTCGAAGCAGTCGTCTACATTATAGTATTTTTTGGTGAAATATTTCATGGAAGTTCATGGAAGTCCATGGACGTCCATGGTCTTCCATGAAACCAGTCCATTGACTTCCATGAAATGTTTCATGGAAGTCCATGGAAGTCCATGAAATATTTCATCATGGAAGTCTATGAAACATTTCATGGACGTTCAAGAAATATTCCAGTGACGCCAACTTGGTTGATAAATGCCGACAATGAGCCTTGGCTGTGTTCGACATTGGTCTCCATGAAATGCCTGCATGGGCTTCATTGGACTTCCATGAAACTTTTCATGGAACTCCTTTGACTTCCATGAAACTTTTCATGGACGTCCATGGAGCTCCATGGAACTTTTCATGGAAGTCCATGGACGT